GTAAAAATGGCTTGAATTGTTTGTTCGCAATGCCAGAAGTCTGCACAGCAAAATGGGAGAACTGGAAGCTTTGGTGCATGAGGAGAACTATGACATAATTGGTATTGCTGAATCTTGGCTTGGTTCTTCAAATGATTGGGCTGTTAATATTCCTGGTTATACTCTCTTTCGAAGAGACATGGTAAAACGAAAAGGTGGCGGGGTTTGTCTCTATGTGAGAAGTGATCTTAAAGTGAGTGTGAAAAAGGACTTTGTTGATGGTGAGTGTGATGGTACTGAGGCGTTATGGGTGGAGTTGTATACTGGTATGCATAATGCAAAGGTAATTGTTGGAGTTTGTTACAGGCCCCCCAGCGTTACTGAAGAGATAGAGACTCAGCTCCTTAAACAAATACAAAGGGCAGCAAGGGCGGGGACAGTAGTATTAATGGGAGATTTTAACTAGCCTGACATTGACTGGCATAATGGCACTGCTGGAACAGTAAAAGGCGGACATTTATAAACTTATTACATGACAATTTTATGGTACAGTTTGTAGAAGTCCCAACTAGAAATAATGCTCTGCTGGATCTGGTAATCTCAAACAATGCAGAGCTTATTACAAATATTCATATAAAAGAACATCTGGGTAGCAGTGACCATATAATGATTTCATTTAACTTAAGTTGTAAACAACACTCACATACTGGAAAAATAAAAACACCTAACTTCAGGAGAGCAAATTTTCCCATGCTGAGGGCTGCTCTTAAACTGGGAGGGAATATTTCCATCGAAAAACACTGAACAAAAATGGGAATGTTTCAAAACAATTGTTTGCAACCATACGGCAAAATATATTCCAGTAAGCAATAAGTTTAAAAGGCTAAAAGTAAAACCCATGTGGCTGACATCCAAGGTTAAAAAAACCATAAACCATAAGAAAAGGATGTTTAAACAATATAAAAATGAAGGAACGCTGTTGTCATTTGAAAGCTACAAAGAATATAATAAAATATGTAAAAAGGAAATAAAGCTTGCAAAGATTCAAAACGAACCACAGGTTGCAAAAGATTGCAAGATTAACCCCAAGAATTATTTAAATATATTAATAGTAAAAAAATCAGGTTTGATCATGTTGGCCCCTTAAAAGATAACTCAGAGATGGTAACTGGGGACAAAGAGAAGGCAAATCTATTAAATACTTTCTTCAGCTCTGTGCACACCAAGGAACAGGATGTAACTCAAGTCCATAATGGGGATAGCAGTGCCATAGCCTCTACTGAACCACAATGGTTGACTATTGATATTTTCCAGGAACAGTTAGACAAAATTAAGGTGAACAAAGCACCTGGACCAGATGGCTTACACCCACGTGTCCTCAAAGAATTGAGCTGTGTAAGTTCAAAGCCATTGTATTTAATTTTTAGAGACTCTCTAATGACTGGCTTGGTACCGATGGATTGGCACAAAGCCAATGTGGTGTCTATATTTAAAAAGGGATCAAAGCCTTTACCAAGTAATTACAGACCTGTAAGTTTAACTTCAATAGTTGGCAAGATACTTGAAAGTTTGATCAAGGATCACATGCAATTGTTTTTGCTTGAAAATAATATAATAAGTGATAGTCAGCACGGATTCACAAAAGACAGAAGTTGTCAAACAAACCTACATTCTTTTTATGATGAAGTGAGTAATAATTTGGACAGAGAAATGGCTGTGGATATAATATACTTGGACTTTGCAAAAGCGTTTGACACAGTTCCCCACATGTGGCTAATGTATAAGTTAAGGTCAGTAGGTATAGAGTATTGAATCTGTAATTAGGTAGAAAACTGGCTTAAAGACCGTATTCAGAGAGTGGTGATCAATGATTCGTACTCTGAATGGTCTGAGGTTGTTAGTGTTCCCCAAGGTTTAGTGCTGGGCCCCTTACTGTTTAACCTATTTATAAATTATATAGAATTGGGGATTAAAATTACTATGTCTGTGTTTGCAGTTATGTAGTGGAATACAGTCCTTACATGATGTCTCCAACTTACAAGCAGATCTGAATGCACTGTGTGATTGGGCATCTATTTGGCAAAAAAGTAAGTGCAGCGAAGGGCGACTAAACTCATAAGAGGCATGGAGGAGCTCAGCTATGAGGAAAGATTAGCTGACCTGAATTTGTTCTCTCTGGAGAAGAGGCGATTAAGGGGGGATATGATCACCATGTATAAATACATAAATGGTCCATATAAAGAATATAAAGAGCTTGGTGCCAAATTATTCACGATAAGATCACTGCAAAGGACAAGGGGGCACTCTTTGCATCTGGAGGAAAAGAGGTTTAACCTTTGCATACGGAAAGGATTCTTCACAGTTAGAGCAGAGAAAATGTGGAATAGACTCCCCCAGGAGCTAGTCCTAGCTAGCTCGGTTAATTGTTTTAAAAAACATCTGGATGTATTCTTAAATGCACAGAATATTACTGGATATTGAGTTCTTATAGGTATATTAGGCATACAAGATCAAAACAGCTTTGACAAGATTGCCAAAATATTTGAAACTAATAATTGCTCTGTAAGGCAAATAATCTACTAGTAGTATAAATTTCAAATGACTGGGCCAGCAGGTTGAGCTCAAGTGTTGACCTTTTTATTCTAAAAGAGGTTTCCTAGCACCCCAAATTTTGGGAACTTCTTTACAAAACTGTAAAACAGTTGCAAGAGATAGCTCTTGCAACTGTTGGTGTCAAAGTGCATGCATCTACAGTCAGGAAAAGAATGCAACACTTTTACCTGCATGAGAGGTGTTCCAGGAAAAAGGCTTTGCTGTCCAGAAAGAACATTAGAGCAAGGCTAGAATTTGCCATTAAATATATAGGCAAAAGATCAGGCCTTCTGAAACCATCTGCTGTGGACTAATAATTCAAAGATAGAGTTGTTTGGACATGGTAGAACAGTAGACAAACCAAAGGCAACATGTCAGGAGAACCTTATAACAGCTTTAAAAACATAGAGGTAGAAATATTATGGTTTGGGTTTGCTATGCTGATTTCAGGCCTGGACAGCTAGCAATCATCAAGTCAACTAAAATTCTACATCATATCATGTGATTGATAAAAAAAGGAAAGCCCATCTGTCTGAAAGTTAAAGTTGACTCGGAAATGGATCATTCAACACATTAATGATCAAATGCACACCAGACTGGCCTACTGACATCCTTGAATTGAATCTCATTGAAATGTTGTGGGGAATTTGAAATGGGCAGTTCTTGCAAGGAAATCCAAAAATATCTTGCAAGGTAATTTGCATGGGGGGTGGACATAAATGTCTCCAAGTTGGTGTCAGAGATTTGTGGCCAGTTATGCAAAATGCCTACAAGAAGTTATTTCTGCAAACGGAGGCAATACCAGCTTCTAAGACTATGTTTTTTTTTAGTTATACCATACACTATTACATTTTTTGACATTTTTGCTGAGTAAATTATTGCAAAAGGCACATTTTAAAGTACATCACCTTTATCCATAGTCAGTTTGAATGTAGACAGGTAGTCTTTACCTGTTCAAATATGTAAAACAAAAGTCAACAATGTCCATGGGGTGTACTTTTCAGTCACGTAGCAAATTTCACACAGTTGCCACACCACTTTGTGCAATAGTTTACATTGATAACAGTTTGCAAAAAAATTGTTCTCTTAATTTTAGAAATTCAGTTTGTTTGAAATATTTGTCAGGTTATCAGTAATTTGTAAATTAAAATAACCAAATTGTTGTGCAGGTTTGTCAGATCTTTATCAGAATTGATGCAATATGGCCATCTTTACCATACCATAGTTCACTATGCCACTAAGACACTTGATAATATACATGACCTGGATTTCCCATGAAGAGCAAAACTTCCCTTCCCTATTTTTCCCTGTCCCTTTATTTGCTGCCCAAACTGAAAAGAGAAATACCTGGTACTTCTGAGTATGGGGGAATACTCACTCTCCTTCCTCTCATGTGACAGTGCTGGTGCTTGGCATTTGGCTGCTCCGCCCTGTGTAAGCTCTAGCTAGGACTCACTTGCAGCTTACACAGGAATTCTCTTCCTGCAGGTGATAAGGCAGTAAAGGGAAAGAGCATAAAATGATTACTATAACTGTATAGTCACCTGTATAGGCAAATCACAGGTTCACTTTCATTATGAAGTGTTGCATGAACTTATTGGATTATATGAAATTAATGGTAAAAGCCGCGCTGTGTGAATGAGACCGCAAAGTGTCAGATATAGTAGATACTGACCTTGGAGTAATGTGATACAATGTGTAAAAAGTGCAAAACAAAAAAGAAATGCATGTATATAACATGCACCTTAGTGTAAATGTAATTGCTACAAGATATCCATAATGAAAAATCAAGTGCACTAAATATTAACTGTGAATCAATGTGATGCAATGTGCAAAGAATACCGACAAGAAAAATGCATGTGTGTAACTTGCACTCCAGTGAAAATAATAAATGGTTAAAAAATATCTGACACTTTGTGGTCTCATTCACACAGCTCGGCTTTTACCATTAATTTCATACGTTATATCTGACCACACAGATTTCAGCTGCTGCTTAACTTGATTAGAGTAGTGGCGCGAGGTTTCACATTATTCATTATTGGATTATATGCTATGTGCAGCATTGATGCTGGATGCTTTTTGGTGTGTGGGGACCTTTTTCAATAAATACATTGTTCTTTTGACTCTCATAAGCCAATCATAATAAAATACATTTAAAACTTCTATGAAGGAGTGCATGAATAAACATGTAAAGTTCCATCATAAGTAAAGAAAGTGAAAGATATAGGGGGAAACAGTAAATTCAATCACCTTTCTAACTTTTTGTCCCATGCTTACCAGGATACTACCAGCTGTTACCTCTTGTCAACCTTTAGGCTACAGTATATTTTTGTGCATTTTTGGCATATAAGGAAGTCATGTCTTTTGTAAGTAGCATGAGAATAAACTTAATCATCAGAATGGCAACTAAAGAAGTTTTGTCTCCATAGGTGGTTTTAATGCAGAGGGTTTTCTCTCGTCTGTGGAATGTTACTGCCCTCAAAGTAATGAATGGAGAGAAGTGACTGAAATGCCACAAAGTTGTAGTGGCATGGGTGTAGCGGTAACCATGGAGCCTTGTCCTAATAGCATTGAGGATGCTGAAGAGACCTGATCAATCAGATGTGTAAATTATTGTGTTTGTAGCCAAATTTGCAGTCATAAAAAGGATTTTTATTAGAGATCGCTGACTGTTTAATGTGAATGTTCAGCTACACAATGATACAAACTTGAAATCTATCCTTTTTATTAAGAGGTGTTATATTGAAATTACACAAATGTAATACACACATACACCTGCAAACACTGGCCAAGATATGTACCTGCCTAGTTTACTTGCATTTCAGTATTATGAGATGTAAGGTTGATGCAAATGTCTGCATGTGGAAAATTGTGTACACAGCATTAACACTGTGTGCAGTCATTGCACTGCCATATTTAGAGCGCCCTCTGACCTTGCAGTGGCCATGTATAGAAGTAATGTTTAATCACTGCCACCAAGAGAGTGTTGAGGATGTTGCCAACCTGGGACACTGAGATCTTGACAGAGGAGCCTTCCTAGGTGCCCAAGCCAAGCAGCCCAACAAACATACGCCAATTAGGATACTTTTGTTTCATGCATTCTTGTGGTGCTGTCTGCTGCTGCTACAAACATGGTTTCCACGATTATGTCTGGATTTCCCCTTGAATACATTTTGGTATGTAGTCCAGAGTCAGACACAATTAAGTACAGTTGTACTCCAGCTATCAGAACATGGACAGATGTAGACAGACCCAGAAAATAGGAAAATCCACATAAAGTAAGGCCTATGGAAGGGAAATTATTTGGAGATGGCATATTGCAGACAAACAATTCTTATATGTTTGGGGAACAAGCATTAAAATTTAAATGAGACAATTAAAGACAGCAATTGGTGTGTACATAAATGCACCTTATCACTGCACTAACTGCACTTTGAAAACCTTGTAGCTTTTTCACCTGTAGGGGTTGGCACAAAAAAAGTGAATTTGTGTTGATCCTTGTTAAAATAATATAATGAAAAATAAAGGCAAGGAACAGCAGAGTAAGTGTGTTTACTCAGAGAATGCCAACCAACACTGAATTGTTAGTATTGGTGAACTTATACTATAAGCTTTAAAAAAATCTATAAGCTTTAACACTTCCTACACACACTTGTGAGTAGTCTTCAAAAGCCCATTTGAGTTTATCTGAAGTAATAAGCAGTATTACTAGGAATATTGCTCACCATTACTTGATTTATAGATATGTCAGATGAATGTATTCTTAATTAAAATAACCATTCTCCATTATGAGAGTCACACAAGATTTGGGAAGACTGATTTTTGAGAAAAGATTGATTATTCTCCTGGAAACTTGTAGGACCAATAGAAGAAGAATTTCCACTGTAGTCTATGTTTATATAATTTGTTTATCACGTACAGGTAACCTAGAGTGGTAACATGCTTTACATATGTTCAAATTGCTGAAATGTGTTTGCCCTTCATTGGCTTTGATAATGTGGCCCCTGCCAAACGATGATAATCAGGCACAGCTGACCAATTAGAGGTTGTTCCTGAACTGTGATCCTTCAACTTGGCAGATAAGTTCAACAAGTGATCAGTGCTTAAAGAAGAACTCTGGGCAAAACTTGTATTAACCCTTGCAGCGGGGCTACCCTTGCACTGCTCATTTTGCTTGCTCTTAGACTGGTACTTCCAGCCTTGCTCCTCCTCCACTGTAGTGGTCCCTGAGTCATCAAGTTCTATACACTGTGTATTGGACGTGAGGATGCAGAGGGTCATACCATCGCTGGAGCGTAGGAGCAGACAGGCAGGAGTGTTGTCACAGACGGCCAGCTCGGAGGATCAGTTGAGTATAACTTAGTTATTTTCCTCTCTAGACCAAAATAAGAAGTTAACCCTTGCAATGCAGGGGTAGCCCCACAGCAAGAGTTAATAAGTTTTGCCCAGAGTTCAGCTTTAGACATGGTGCATGTGACCAGTGCTGGAGGACAAAGAATTCTAGGCGTTGCAGAGAGATGAGTGAGATGTAAGTATCTCACTACAAAAAAGCGAAGCATATGGACCACTCACCAGTGCTGCCTGTTGTCTCCCCTGCAGCTGTTATTTCCCCATCACTGACTTACCGTGTCTTGTTCTGAACTGTGTCTCTGTATGAAGTTGGCCATCTTGGTAGATGCAGGGCTTTGCTTCCTCATGTCAGAACCTCCAGCAAGGAGAACATTGAGCAGTGCAGTAGTGACAACACCAAATCTCACTCCAATTCTACAAAGACAAGCAGTCAGTAGCAGCAGTGCCTCAATCCTATACTGCAAATATATAGCTACCGGTATGTGTCTTTAGGCACAGGAGTAGATTTTTTGGGGTGCAGTTTAGACACAATAAACATTTCAAAATTTTTGCTATAAAATAAAACCAAAGGTCTACAAAGTCTTAGCGTTTGTCTTCATTAAAAATCAGCCACCTTTTCAGTAGAAAAGCCTGCATCCTGACTGTATGCTGCAGATGGGGAGCCTTGCTCTCTTTGAGGAAGCAGTGATTTCTTTTCAGAGGTCCGACATGCCCCAGGCCTGAGTCAGAGCTCACCAGTCAGCAGGGAGTATGAGATTTGTTGATTGCAGAGCTATAGCACTGTCTCTGTAGTGGGCATATTGGACCCCTGCAATTAGACCGCTGCTTTTCCATGGAGAGCTGTGTTCACACTCTTCAGCTGCTGGCAGGGTACAACATTCTTCTCAGGCTATGCTTTCTTTCTATAGAAAAAGAACTGTAAGACATTAAACACCTTTTGATTTGAAGAACCCAAATTATATTTAGCTGATATAAACTGAAAATTCAGTTGGGCTTCAAGTACAGGTTTTAGAAGGGTATTGGTTCACTTTAATACTAGCAATTTTAAATAGATTTTGAGTTATAGCTTACTTGCTGCTATCTGCTACATTGTATTGTGTAAAATATTTCCTACTTTGAAGATTATGATTTTTTGAAGGTTGTTTTCAATTTATTGGTTGCCTTATACATCTACCTCTGCTTTGCTCTTTGGTCTGTATTGTGAAAATATTTTAAATATTGACAAAATAAAAAATGGCAGTATGCTAAGAAACATGCAAGTGTACATTACATACTCCTACAAGTTTTTTGCAAATTGTAATTTTATTCTGAAAATACATATTTATGGACATGTGATTTTATGTACAGCAAAATATTAAATCATAGTTTATAATGCTGAAGCAATTGTTTAGTCTTGGTATCATTGACTAAAGCAGTAATGACTGAACCTGTTTTCACTTAACCTAATAGTTGGCAAGCTCTACTGCCAACCATTATTCATGTTTTAAGTGTCAGAAGTATCAGGACCCACTTGGAGTATTCATTGTAAAAAGAGCAATAGTGTCAAAGTAGGTTGATGCTGCAGTCTCTGTTCAGTTCAGAGCGGCACAAAGCAAATATTTTTCTGAGTGCTGGATTGTGTTGAACCATTTACGTTAAAGCTGAACTCCAGGCAGATATATACCGTATGTCTTAATATTATGGCATTGTCAGAGATCTGTCATTTAGCGATGGGAGTGCAGCAGCTAAAGATCAGCGGGCATTGGGTCGTTGTGATTGAAGTAGATAAGGCTGCTGGATGCCATGATTGCCATGGACTACATTGCTGGAAATCATGATTGGCGCTGGATTACATCAGGTAACATTCATACCATTTTTTAAATGTATTTATTATTGAAATTAAAGGACTTTTTCTAAGGTGCGTGTATTTTTATGTAGATTTTATTTTTGGTGGTATTGGGTAAGGGGAACTTACATAGCCCTGCACTCATTCCCCTGGGAAAGAGAGAATATCTGGGGGCCCCCCTTCTTATAAAGCAGGGTTTCATTTTCGGGAATGTCTCCCTCATATTAACACCAGGGGCCTTTGTCTCTCAGCAATGGAACAAGGATGGTTTGGTACAGGAGGGGGTGCATGCTTGTTGCCATGCCTTTCCTGGCCACCCAGGCTGCATGCTTGGAACCCCACACCATTATGAGTTGCCTCTAATGGTGGTAATTCTAGGGTTTGATCACTGCTGTATCGTGTAAAAATGCTACTTTCATTGATATTGGATAATGGTCTTGTACAGTGCAGCGATTGTGTTATTTACAGTCTCCCCTTATCCAGTCACACAATGCCTAATATTCTTTTCACAGAATACAAGATGAATACAAGATGAAATGTATTTGCCCCTCCTCTCCCCTTGTCCATTGATAGAATGCCTTGAATTCAATGAACAGAGGAAGGAGAGGAAGTCCGGGCTCTGTTTAAGAGCCCGAACTTTTGCTGGAAGAACAAATAGTCTGACAATAGTATCCTGCATCAAAGGTAGCATTTTTTACTACATTTTATACTACACTTTAGCAATCAAGCCCTAGAATTATATAATTGGAATTAACTCATTTGTACAGAGGAAATGTATTTTAAAAAAAAATTCTGGGTTTCACGTTCCCCTTTAACCGCTTAATTCGCAGCATGGCCAGCGCTCCTTTTACTTCAGTGGAAAAGCCATATGCCTTGGCAATCCCCACAGCAACAATTGCTGGGGAGCTGCATTTTAATTATGTATGTTTTTGTCAGGGCTTACAAAATAGGAGGACAGCTGGCCATACACTGCGAATTTTAGACGGTTGAAATTAACCGGCTGAAATTTGCACTTTGAGCACTATGGACACCCTTCAATCAAACAATCAAAGGAGCTGGATGCAAACATTTCCAGTGACCAGTGACGGCAGTTAATCAGCTGCCGTGAGTCAGAATACAAAGGGCACAGCGGGAGATTTGTCCATCCATGCTGTTTAGGGTGGGTGGAGGAACCTGTTATATATTTTTTCTTCAGCCTATGCATAACCAGAATAGTATTCCACGATCAAAAATCTATTGTTATTCAGAGACACTCTGCAAATGATCCGCAAAACAAATTTCTCATGCTTTCAGAATTAAAAAAGAAATCCAGGGAAAAGTTCTATTAACCCTTTCAGTGGGGTTACCTCACCCGAACTGCCGAGCCGACTCCCTGCTTCTGCTGTTACTGAAATGTTTCTCCTCCTCTTCTGCGCATATGAAATCTTCCTCAGCGTCCTCATATCTATACACTTGAATAGAATGTGATGACACAAGGATTCTTTGACCACTGCAGAGGAGGGGAAGGGAGGCTCTAGGAACCCGGTCTGAGAACAAACCGGCTGGAATGACTGAAATGATCGGGTGAGTATAACTTTTTTTTTAGCACCTAGAAACAAACAAGCATTTAATCCTTGCAGTGTGGGGGTAGCCCCACTGCAATGGTTAATAAAATGTTTCCTCTGAGTTCTTCTTTAAGGTTGTTAATACAATGTCTATCTGACAGCATATCTGTGTATGTGACTTTAGCAAAATATGCTGTAGGAAGATAAAAAGTGAACTAGACATCAAAGACCCATTAGTATTGCTTTCAGTAACCGTCAGTGGAGTTAGGCTTACACTTTATTTCACTGAAGATAAGTTTTAGACTTTTACTGGAGTCATCAGCACATATGTGCTT